GGAGGCCTACCATCTCGGCCTCTGGCACATCAACAAAGGCACAAAACCTATATGAGCCTCCACTTGCCTTCTCATGCAAAAAGAGATCATGCTCAGCACCATCATTAGAATGCTGTTTGCCCCGATCGGTGCTCAGTGGAGAAGCCCGCCAGACACTATCGGCCAGTCACTCTTCCTGGTCTGGCAGCGCTGCTCCTGCAGGTTGTCTCTGCTAGGGAGCCTTCAGTGTTGAAGCAATCTTATTACCATGATGGCCCAGGACTACCTGGCACCTCTTATCTGCTGACACCTAAGAGACCCAAACAGGCTGATCAATACTCCTTGGCTCTGGGCACATTAGCACCACCGGCAAATTACTATTTTCCTGTCCATCAGGAGTACCGTGAGCGTTCATCCTGCTCAGCGTCACTGACATCTCTCTATTCCAACATAATATAGTGAGGTCCATTGATGCCTTTAACTGGTGATGAGACATGGATCTACTGTTACGATCCTGAGACAAAGGAATGGTCTAAGGAATGGAGGCACAGTGGTTCCCCTGGGCCAAAGTAAGTTCCGAGTGCAAAGGTCGGTGCAGAAGCAAATGGCAACAGTTTTTTGGGAGAAGAAGGGAGTTCTCCTGGTTGACTACATCCAACAGGGTTCAACCATCAATGCAAAATATTACTGTGCTTTATTGACGCAGTTGAGGCAAAACATCAAGGAAAAACGTCGAGGAAAGCTCTCCGAAAGTGTCATCCTGTTGCATGACAACGCCTCATCACACACTGCAGGCGAAACAATGGCAAAACCAACATCCTTAGGCTTTCAGGTGATGCCCCATCCACCCTATTCTCTTGACCTGGCTCCTTTTGACAATTATCTGTTCCCCAAACTCAAAAAAACACCTAAAGGGACAGTGATTTGGGAGTGTTCTGGAGGCAATTAATGCTGCAAATGAGTGGTTACACCAGCAGTCGGAAGAATTTTGTTTGCAGATACTTAAGAAGCTGCAGGACAGATGTCGCAAGTACATTGACTTCCTGGGGGAATATGTAGAATAGTGTGGCAGTTACAACTTCTTAGCTCAATTTTTTCTGGGAATGGCTCAATACTTATCAGCACTCTCTCTTACCACTTTGACAGCTATCTTGACACCAACAACAACCTCCATTTCAACACACCTCTATAACAACCCTTTTGATATTGCCGATCCTCGATATTGAACATTGTCCATGGACGCACCTTCCATATTGACAGCAGTCGAAGACTCTCGATATTGCCCCATCCATGGACATGCCTTCAACGTCGATACCGATCAATGACCCTCAATATCACCCCCTGTCCACTGATACCCCTTCAACGTTGACACCAATATTTTGAGGACCAGCCACTCAACGTCAGTATCGATTGACAGTCTATCAACTTGAGGCATGTTGATCACGGTTCCAAATCTCAAATGCCATCAGTACTTTTAACATCACCAGATTCTGACCTGGCAGACACAGACCCTCTGTCACCAGCAGAGGAATTTCAAACCTATGCTCAACTAATGATTCGTATGGCCAAATCCTACAATCCATAGTCCCACTACTAAAACAGCATCATCTCATTCGGTGTCAACCTTTATCAAATACATGACCCGGGTGTAGTCTTTTTACAGAAACAATCAGCTCCCAATTCCATAGTTATCGAAGTTTCCCAGTCTCGCTCTCAACACAAATACTTATACCACCTAATAAAGACAGCAGGCACATTGACCCCATGGGCAGATGGCTATACACTTCTGCCTTCTTCACCATGAGAGTTGCCAACTATCAGGGAGCTATGGGTGCCTACCAGCGTTTCCTCTGGACAATATGTCTACCTTTATTGATGCTCTCTCTGAAGATAAAAGGGTCTTAGCACAAACTTTTCACCAAGAGGGTCTTTCGGTGGTGAAACAACAGATTCTATCTGCTAGACACAAAGTTGATGCCATATCTAAATCAACAGCTACCTCTATAGCGCTTTGATGTTTCTCTTGGCTCAGAATCACGGGTCTAGCCAAAGACATGCGTACGCACATTGAAGACCTCCCATTTGATGGATTTGGTCTCTTCAATGCCGAGAGTGATTACATTCTTGAGAATGTTCAGAAAAATAGGACAGCTGCCAGGCGTTCGGGAGTCTACCGCACATACCAACAATGCCCTCAGCTCAATCAATGGCACTGCCCTCAAAAATTTCAACAAGAACCTCAAAGACAAACATCTTATGTGCCTTGCTATAAACAACAACCTTCCCAAGCCAAACCTCACCAACAAGCCACAACTAGGTGCAATGACCTTAAGCCTAAGCATCATGTTTCACATCCAACCGGCCAAGATCCCAATACCACCTCCCACCTCTCCTGCCCTTTCAAATCACTTACCTGTGTAGAAAGATATCACTACAGATGCCTAAATGCTGTCCATCATAAGGAACGGGTACTGGATTGAATTCCACAAGCTTCCTCCACCGTCACACACTGTCACACCTCTATTGAAAACTCTACAAGAAGAAATACAGTTGTTACTACTCAAAGATGCCATAGAACCAGTACCACTACAACACGCAGTCATAGACTTTCTCTCTCTCGCTATTTCACCATCCCCAAAAAAGTTGGAGGCGTTTCTTCCAACAGACAAATGCCTCAATCTAAACTCCTTACTACATGCCTTCACTCCTCACACACTCATATCTGCATTAACAGTCCAGCGTGTTTTAGGCGCTATGACGTCCATGACTGCTGTGGTTCAGCATGTCCACCTCAAAATGAGATCACTCCAGACATGGTTCTTAGCCTTGCTCAATATGTTGACGGACTCACCACATAGGTTACTGCGAGTCACTCCAGAACTCATCTCCCAGTTTGCATGGTGGCGCTCCACTCAGAACCTGACAATGAGATGACCCTTTCAACAAACCCACCCACAAATCCAAGTTACTACAGACACCAGCCTTACCAGCTGGGGTGTCCGTTGCAAATCTCTGCAAATCCACGCCCAGTGGTTGCAAAGACAGAAGCTGCTCCATATCAACGAGCTGGAACTCTTAGCAGTAATAAAAGCCTGCAAAGCTTTAAAAAACCATCTCATGGGCAAAATGGTTCAAATAGCCACACACACCACCACCACAATGTATTATATTCTCAAACAAGGGGCACTCACTCCTCAAGTGTTTTTTTTAATTTATTTTTTAAAAAATTATATACCTCACTGTTGACCTGTGGGAATGGAGTCTCTCTCATCACATTTGTCTGACGGCAATATATATACCTGGTCAAGACAACAATATGGCAGATTTGCTCAGTCGCAAAAAAATCTCAAGTCCACAAATGGGAGCTAGATAAATCTGTTCTTCTCTCCCTCTCCAAATGATGTGGCACACCCACCATCAACCTCTTTGCCTCCTGGGTAAACCGGAAATGCAAGTGTTACAGGCATGGTTCCCGATTCTCCACCAGCTGTCTTCCAACATTTATCACCTGCCCCAACTACCTCACCTACTCACACAGAACAAAAATCAAATTTTCCACCCAGATCTCACTGCTCTTCATCTTGCAGCATGAAGGATTCGGCCTCATTGATGAATGTTATTCATTATGCAAAGAAACCTTCAACCAAAAAGGCCAATATGTATAAACGGGAAAAAATTGCAAGCTTTTACTGCAGCGTCATCCCTTCCCTCACCTAACCCCTCACTTACCTCTGTCTTACATTTTTATTGCAGTTAAAAACTAAGGATATCTAAGTGGGTTGCGTCTACCATCCAGCTTGCTTATCAGCTTGCTCAAGTTCCAGCGCCACATCCATTCTCATTCCACCAGGGCATCCAGTAGGCAGACATCCGGTAGGGGGACACCCCGAAGAAGACATGCTTTAGATGTCACCAACGCCCTCATTCTGCCAGGGCATTAACAACATCTATGGTGTTTCTTTGGGGTGTCCCCCTACCGGACATCTGCACCTCTGCCACATGGTCACAGCTGTCCACACTTATCAGTCACTACAGATTGGATATTTGGCAGAAGTCTGACGCTGCTTTTGGACATGCTGTTTTATCATATACCTTGGCGTGTCATCCTCCTCCTCATAAGGTAGCTTGTTAGTCACCCATAGTGTGATTCACAGAGGCCATGAATAAGAACGAGAGGTTACCTATCTGTAACTGTAGTTCTTTGAGTGAACCTCTGGTGATTCACACGTCTCGAACCGGCCTCCCCACTTGTCACACCCTTTTTAGTTATGCGGCGGTTGACCTAACTGAAGGGAGAGCCTTGGCGCCAAGGTACATATACCAGGGGGGAGGAGTCTGTTCTAATGTATCTTTTTGCTGCTGCAGAAGCTCTAGAATATTCTGATGAACTCCACGCATGCGCGGATTACCCATAGTGTTAATCACAGAGGTCCACTCAAAGAACTAAAATTATAGGTAGGTAACCTGTCGGGATGTGGTGGCACTGCGGGTTAAACTGCAGAAAACTGTGTGCTGCAGGGTCAGAAGATCAGCAGTCGTAAGATCGAATCTACTCGACAGAGTGAGCTCCTGTTGCTTGTCCCAGCTCCTGCCAACCAAGCAGTTCGAAAGCATGTAAATGTGAGTAGATAAATAAGTACCACCACGGTGGGAAGTTAACAGAGTTCTGTGTCTAGCACTGGCCATGGAAACTGTCTACGGACAAACGCAGGCTCTACGGCTTGGAAACGGGGAAGAGCACCGTGCCCTAGAGTCAGACATGACTAGACTAAATGTCAAGGGGAACCTTTACCTTTACCAACCTGTCATTCTATCATTGGGATAATATAACTGTCGTGATTTTTTATTAGAATAGGAATCAATTATCCATCAAGCTTTTCCAGCTGAATTTCCACTTGGTTTTAGAAGCTTAAAGAAAGGGGGAATAATCTGCATTATTTGTGTTATTTCATAAGATTTAATGGATTTTTGTGTACACGTTGTTTGCCATCTAACATAGTTTATTTTCTCTTTCTCAACAGATTTCTCCAATTCAGCTTCACACTGAAATGAATGCCTTGCAGACTGAAGAAAGCTGAAACCACTGTCAACATTAACATTGACGTGAAAGGAAGTGCTAATCTCGCTGTCCTGTCTGTCTCCTGTCAGTGTTTGGTACCTTACATCGTCTGTCAGCCACCTGTATAGGACACAGCTGCCATATCACTCAGCATACATGGAGAGAGGCAACAAAGTGTGTAAACCTGGATAATAAAACAACAGCCTTCCTAGCGAGAGTGAAAAGCAGTCCAGTTATAAAAGGATTATTTTGCATTTAGCCTCAAGGACCTTACTTTTCACCTGTGAAAAGGACACAAGTGCAGCATCTGTTTTCTTTTCCTTTTTCCCCTCTCTTTTTTTTTCTTTTTGGTCCTTGTATTTTTCCTCTTTTCAGTATTTTGTTTCTTCATTTAGAAATGGGCCTGTGGACTAGAACGTGGCCCAGGGACGGGGTTGCTTTCTTCAGATCATGGCTGGTGTTTTCTCTGGGGCTTTACATGCAGTTCTCCAAAGCTTTTGCCTGTCCAAATGTTTGCCGGTGTGACCGAAACTTTGTCTATTGTAATGAACGAAGCTTGACCTCAGTGCCTCTTGGAATACCGGAGGGTGTAACGGTACTCTACCTCCACAACAACCAAATTAATAACGCTGGATTTCCTGCAGAGCTGCACAATGTCCAGTCTGTGCACACAGTCTATCTGTATGGCAACCAGCTGGATGAATTCCCTATGAATCTGCCTAAGAATGTCAGAGTTCTCCACTTGCAAGAAAACAACATTCAGACCATTTCTCGAGCTGCTCTGGCCCAGCTATTGAAGCTGGAAGAGTTGCATCTGGATGACAATTCGATATCTACTGTTGGAGTTGAGGATGGGGCATTCCGGGAAGCTGTAAGCCTCAAGCTTCTATTCTTATCCAAGAATCACTTAAGCAGTGTACCAGTTGGCCTTCCAGTGGACTTACAGGAGTTGCGTGTTGATGAAAATCGAATTGCCATCATATCAGACATGGCCTTCCAGAATCTAACAAGCCTGGAACGTCTCATAGTAGATGGCAATCTGCTTACCAACAAAGGTATCGCAGATGGTACCTTCAGTCATTTGTCCAAATTGAAGGAATTCTCTATAGTACGTAATTCACTAACGTATCCTCCCCCAGATCTCCCAGGTACAAACCTTCTTAGGCTTTATCTGCAGGACAACCAGATATCACACATACCACTTTCAGCCTTTTCAAACCTTCACCAGTTGGAGCGACTTGATATTTCCAACAATCAGCTTCGGATGCTGACCAAAGGAGTCTTTGACAACCTACACAACCTGAAGCAACTCACAGCAAGGAATAATCCATGGCTTTGTGATTGTAGTATTAAGTGGGTCACTGAATGGCTCAAGATGATTCCTTCCTCCATCAATGTTCGAGGATTCATGTGTCAGGGGCCAGAACACGTCCGGGGTATGGCTGTCAGGGAACTCAACATGAATATGTTGGCATGCCCCACAACTACCCCTGATCTGTCATTTGTTACCCAACTTCCCACAACATCCTTGCCAACCACAGTGGCCCCTACATCATCAGTCCTAACCCCAAGTAACAAATATACTCCTCTTACCCCCACCATTGCTACCCTCCCCACTGTGCCTGAGAGGGACAATGGAGAAAATGTGACCCCTCCCATTGTTGAACGGTTTCAGTTGTTTATACACATTGTGAATGACACTTGTATCCAAGTCAGCTGGCATTCCCTTTTCAATGTGATGGCATACAAACTGACCTGGGTTAAAATGGGTCACAGTCTGGAAGGAGGCATTATTCAGGAACGGATAGTTAGTGACAAAAGGCAGAACGTAAGCTTGACAAACTTAGAGCCCAAATCTACGTATCGGATTTGTTTGGTTCCCTTGGATGATTTCAATAATTATCGAGTTGGTGAGGACACTGTCTGTTCTGAAGGTACCACCAAGGCTTCCCTGTTAAGCAATGGAAGCAACACGGCTTCCAGCCATGAGCAAACAACTTCTCATAACATTGGCTCCCCTTTTCTGTTGGCAGGCTTGATTGGGGGAGCGGTAGTATTTGTGCTGGTGGTTCTACTCAGTATCTTCTGCTGGCACATGCACAAAAAGGGGCGCTACACCTCTCAGAAGTGGAAGTACAATCGGGGCCGACGGAAAGACGACTACTGTGAAGCGGGCACCAAGAAGGACAACTCCATCCTGGAGATGACAGAAACCAGCTTTCAGATTGTCTCCTTAAATAATGATCAGCTCCTTAAAGGAGATTTCAGACTGCAGCCCATTTATACCCCAAATGGGGGCATTAACTACACAGACTGCCACATCCCCAACAATATGCGATATTGCAACAGTGGAGTCTCAGACCTGGAACACTGTCATACGTGATAGTGAGGCATGTGATGAGATGCCACCCAGTAGGAGCAAAAAAACTCAGAGAGAGGAATTGATATAAACCTACTCACAAACAAACAAATTACATTTGATAAATGTTACGCAGATGCATTTGTGCATTTGAATAATCTGTAATTTATATGGTGTACTATATAATGGGATTTTAAAAAAGTGCTATCTTTTCTATTTCAAGTTAATTGCAAACAGTTTTGTAACGTTTTGCTTTTTAAATCTTAAAAAAAATTATATTGCTGAAGTACTGTACAGGGTTGTACAATAAGAACCCGATGCCATGGCAAAGGAAAGAACGCCTCATTCTTCAGACATTACCCACTTTGATTTTGGAGCTGTTTGGGGGATACTAGCTCAGACCTCTTCCACTAGTTTATGAGATAAGTTTATGTTAAAAGATGAATCATTAGAAAAGCTTGGGTAAGATTATGTGATGGGAGAAATACGAAAAACTGATCTCTATGGTTCTTAAAATTAGAATTGCTATTAAAAAAAAGGAAGGAAGGAAAGTGGTAACTTTTAACTTCCTCTGTACTTTTTGGTATGGGGAAAACTGTACCCTTCCTAGTATTAAACACAAAAGAATCTTCACCATTCTTTACGTTAACAAGTTTTTAATGAAATGTTCTATATTTATCACATGTCACAAAGGTTGGTGTGGAAATATCCAAGGCAAAAGATGTGGCCTTATGTTCTTGTCAAAATGAGAACATTTTAAAATATTCTTACAGGCTTTTGTCAGAATTCTTAGTGTACATTCAGATATTTTGCTTCACCTTTACTCCTAAAGCACCTTTCTCTGCTCCCAAGCCTAGCTACGTAGGGCCTTAAAGTGAATCAACGCTATTCATTCCAGCAGTCTAAATAAATCTGGTGCATGGGTGAGAGTCGCGAGCAATACCTTCATTCTGATTACTCAGAAGTATAATCCAGTCAAGATGTTAAAAATCAAGAAAAGAATTCCTTTTACCATTTCTCAGGTTCAAAATATCCCTGGCTAATTCACTCATTTTAGTTTGCTCCTTGAGGGAGAAAGAAAGCCCCGTAGGGCATTAAAGTAAATAAGCAATTCTGCAGAAAGTGTTCAGAAATCTTCCAGAGAGACCAAACCATCATGTTCAAATCAAATTTTAGTAGGATGGAAAATGACGTGTTAGGAAAAAGATTTGGTTTAAAAAATTATACAAGAGATAGGGTTTCTGTGGCTTGCCTTATTGTAAGCCCATTCTGAACCTTTTGACAATCCTGCTTATTTTTTGTAGAACAAAGATCTGCATTTGGTATTTGAGGCTAGTTATGCTCCGTATTTTGTCTTGAGTTCCTCCTAATATTATTTTTAGGGTCGTTTTGTTCTGTTATGTACCTTTGCAAGTGACACCCTGGGAATGTATGCTGTACAGTCCCTATTAAAAAAATGGAAACCAAACAGAAAGGAAAAGCACTCTCTCCTTAATTATATAGAGGAGCTTGTGTAGGAGCAGCTCTGGGCAAATGTGCCAACTCTCAATGGAATACCATAACTGTGTTGAGAACCCTGTAGAACTCAGCATTATTCAAGAATGATTCAAGGAGTGATAGCAAGCTAATTGACACTTCTCCAAAGCCTCTGCAGTCTTCACAAGAGTAGGGGGCAGAAACACTCCTTCGTTTCGTATGTGATGCTCTCCATCAACTTCTATAGAGCACCATATAGTAATTCATGTCTGCTGTGAGTGAGGTCTCCCATACTCACTGTAAGTAAAGTGTACATGTCAGGGGCTAGTACAGGAATAGGCCTGTAGCTTGTCCTGATGTTGCTGGATTGCAGTTCCCATCTGCATTAGTCAGTGTAGCTAGAGGCTAGAGACAATCGGAGTAAGCAGTTCAGCCACATCTTGGTGGCCACCAGTGGCTCATGTGACTGTCATTAATATTTCTGCTCATGACTACAATTTCCTTTTTAATTTAAGCCTATTAGAATCCCTAAATATGTGGAAACAGAGCTTGCAACTGCCGGTCAAGAAAAAAAAAACACACAGGAGATAAAAATTGACTCTTTTGTTAACTCTGGCCTTGATTTCTCTTAGTAGGAGACGGAGGACATTGACAAATAAAAAAATCTTCCCTAGTATCAAAAAGAGCCCACACATGTTCTCCTCTCAACGCAACATCCTCCAATAAAAAGTTCACTGAAACGAATGTTGAGAAATACAGATTACTTAATGTGTTGAGCTGAAAAGCGGAGGGTCGGTTGTCCGTCTCATTGTCTCTCCCTCCTTGGTCTTCTCAGCTTCTTATCCAAGACCTGAGCATGCATGCAGCTCCTTCAGTGGCTTGACAACATACATCTTCCTCCTGAGGAGATGGATCGGCACTTTTGTGTATGATGGCAAAGTACAATCATTTCCTGAGGAATAATGTCCTTCCCCACCCAACACCTTTTATAATCACATTTTGGATTTCCATTCTATATTCTGTATATTTGCTATTTTCTCCAGCTATAACAGGTATTTTAGGCAACCTGTGTGGCTACTGTAATAGTGAAGTCACTGAACCTTTGCTAAATAAAAGGCTGCCGTATGGTTTGAGACTGTGTAATTTTAGATAGAAATCTTTATACAAAACGTTTTTCTTTCCTTTGACTATACAAGCTGTTTTCCCTTTGACAGATGGAAATTAATTTCAAGTGTTATACCTGTAGGACATTCATTTAATGACAGGAAACAAAATACATACTGTATACCTACATCTATGGAAAAGTGGTTTGAGATATGTTTTCCTTTCTCATCATTCTAAAATGTGCCTCATTGTAACTGATCAGTGGGAGAATCAGGATGACGAAAGAAAGAAACTATTTCTTTACATATGGCATGGCCAAACTTTGAATTTGCTATCACAAGATGCAGTGGTGGCCACCACCTTGGGAGACTTCAAAAAGGTGTTAGAGAAATCTATAGAGAGTAAGGGGATCAGTAGCTACTAGTCATCATGGGTAAGGATATTGCTTTTAGGAGGAGGCACTGTGCCCGGAAAAGTACCCCAAGTGCTACAAAACTGAATCTTGGATTATGAGTAGAACCATTGAAAACTACAGAAAAGAAAGTGCTTATTGTTACCTATTAGTAAAATGGAAATTGTATTGCAAGGTCCAGGAAGGAAAGAGGCACCTTTTATACTGAACATGTAGGAGGGGAGGTAAGTGTTTCACTGATAGATATACAGTATTAGTAAAACCTTTCAGTGATCTCAGTGTGTGGAATAAAAAATAACTTGTGCCCCTTTCGAGACAATAGCCTGGATATGTTATCTGGCAGCACCAACTAATTGTTAGATGTGATATGCACCCCTTATGATTAGCTTATTTCTTTTCACTCAACATGATCCTTAGAGATATACTTCAGCAATCACACTTGCAAATTAAGCTTGTGTTTGCCACCAAATGATAAATCACAAAAGAAGGGATACTAAGCATAAGATAATGCCAGTGGACCCATGCACACACACATAAACATATACTCTGCTATTTTGCTGGATTTCTTGCTACTTTTCAAACTGTAAGACTATCCAATTTAATTAATGGGTTCTTTCAAATGTGGTTCTGTTCTCACCTCTTGTCTCAAGATAGTACACTGCCTTAATTTAATGATACATTCTTTACTGAAATTGGAACATTATATTTATGAGCTATTAATGAAAGATATATTTACTTTCTGATCCCAGAAACATTACATAAAAGATATTCGGTGTGCTATTATGGGGGACTTTGTCCCTTAGCCACCTCAGAAAATTACCCGGAATTTGATTTGTTATGCGTATACTACAAATGAGCGTGTGAAAGAAGAGACCAATACTCTTGGATAGGCTGAAGCTTTAAAAACATTTTGGACTAAAGCTCCCAGAAATCCCAACTAGCACAGCCACTGCTCACACTGACCATGTAGATTCTAAGAATGTCAGTTCTGACTTATGGTAACCCTTTTCAGGGTTTTCTAAGTAGAGAGTACTCAGAAGTGGTTTGCCATTCCCTTCTTCAGGGGCATCCAGGGACTGTGCTTCTCGCCCATGGCCACGCAGGCTGGCTCTTTGGGGATACACAATTAGGAAATGAACTCCCAACCTCTGTCTCCACGGTCAAGTGCCAAATTCGGTTAGCTGTCCAACCATCATCTAAGAATTCTGGTCCTCAAAAAAGTAATTTCGCAAACTCTGGGTTTCCCTTGATCATTTTTGCAGTGTTACCATTGGCTAAGAGGGAAAAATTCACTCCTTACTGCTGCTACCCATGTAAACTTGAACCACTGATTCATAAATAAGAACATAAATACCTAACACTGGAACCACTGATTCATAAATAAGAAACAGGTTTTCACCTGAGTCTTACTCAGGAAATCTGAAAGCAATGTGAATTGGGGAACTTGTCATGCCAGGATTATATTGTTATGAGTCGTGCTGTTACACATCTCAACTTCAGGGCGTCAGATGTTTCAGAGATTCTTGAATTTGTCCAGGGTAAATTTCCCTGGAAATTCAGTTTCCTTTGAAGATGGTTCCTGCAATCTTAAAGAGTTCCTGAAAAGGTTTGTTTATGGATCACGAGATGAACATTCATCAGATCATTAACAGTTCAAGAGTTTCCTGACGCCATCAGGTTTCTGAAGAAGCCCACTGGGGTATAGAATTTTAGAGTAGCTGAGTCAGGTTAAGATCAGAGATCAAAGGCTGTTTGCCCTCCACCTCAAGCACCAACATCCTGTTGGGGTGGGTGGGGAAAGAGAATAAGTCTTCTCTGCATAATTTATTAAGTTTTTGAGCATCCTGTTTCACAGTGGAACATACAACAAAAATATTACTAGTTATCAAATGCCTTTTGCCATTTCTTTAAAAATTCTTGACTAGGATAACTACGGTGATAACTACTCACAAGAAGAAAGAACAGTGAGAATTACACACCTCGTAAGGTTCTGTAAGGTTATTTCCATGAACTAATCCACACCACTATGCTTACTTCATTAATAAGTAAAGGTGACCGTATTAGCATAATAAAGAATAATATTAAATAAATATTATTTCAGCACTCTTGAGTACTCTTTCCCTCTGAATCACCTACCCTGGGACATGGTTGTACTGTGGAATTTAAGAAAAATGGAAGGAAAGATTTTTCATACTGTTCTGTCACAATGGAGTAATTCCTTTTGTGTTTAGAACAACTGTTGTCTTTATTCAGGAATTTGACCTTTTTCTTCTGCTGGCTGTTCTGGAATGTTCATTTTCTTTAAGTTTTCATGAGGACTTCTTAACTCTCCAAATCATAGATGCTTGTACCCTTTTATTATGAAGTCTGTGACTTTTACCAATCTATAAAGACGTCCCCCCTCTTCTAAAGTTTCTGAGAACTCTTCCTTTCCTCTAGGTTATTCTGAGATAGTTTACGACTTCCTCAATCAGATCTCTTGGAAAAGCTAAGGAACATTCCAGACAGTCCTGAAGCAGTTTTCTTAAACATCCTAATAGTTAAGTATTATTTGGATCCCCAGTAAAACTCCCAGAGCTGCCATCTACAACCAGCTTGTCTGCACTACCATACTTCCTTGTCTAAATAGCTTCAGTTTAGGTTGCTTCTTCACTCAAATGCTTACCTTTAAGAATGTAAGAATAGATGAGACCAAGATAAATCTTCCCACCATTATTCCACAGAAAATATACCAATGTGGAAGCTTCTGAGTTTGACAGAAAAGTGAAGTCCAACCACTGCATGTTAACTTTTGACAGTTGATTTCAGAATGCTACTACTGATATGAACCTTGAGATCCTCAGTGGCAGTACTACTATGTCATATTTTCCTTCCCATTAATGGTAGTCTGAAATATTTCTGTTCCAAGTGAGTGAGGGGCTTTCTCAATTGTCCCCTGGTGTCTCCAAAGCTTTCCCACAACTGGAAGAGAAGGATTTCCCTAATGGAAGTAGATAATGACAATGGTAAATATCACTACTGTTTCCACATGATCAATTGAAAAACAGTTCACTTCCACAAAGAGACTGGACACACTCTGGTACCCTATTACCAGTGGTGTTCATGCTGCCATGTAGATGTTTTGCAAAATGCCCCCTTTCTCTCTTAGGAAAGTCTGAGTAAAATAAGAGCTGTTCCTTTAAAACACTGTCATTCAGAATATGTGATGTTTAGAGTGAGGTAGACAATTTCCAGACCTCTAGGAGCACCCTCGCACCCTCTAGTGGGTGCAGGAGGCAGTTTTACTAGCTTTTTCTGCCCTGATTTGTTTTAGGCACAAGAGAGCATTCCCCCACCATCTCCAACCATTTGCCCTTTCAAGTATTATGAGGCAAACTGAGGAGCACACTCATTTCATAAGTACCATTGGCAAGATTTCCTGGGTCTCACTCATACCTTTCACAAACTAAACTACAACCAGATGTTTCCCTGCAGCAGTACACCTGGGGAAGATAAGTAATTAAGATCACATGATCTTATGGAAATTATAGAATCATTCAGGACCCCATGATAATCCTGTGAAGAATTCCAATTTTTATGAGACAGTTTGATCATCACTTCCCTAAAACACAGTTATGATATTTCATATTCATTCCTTGGGGTTTGTTTTTGTTTAAATCCAAATACATTAGCTATGATGTTCCACTGCCCAGCTGTGACGGACAGGTGAGAGCAGGGCTGTATATTACACTTACTATTTCTCCTTTTTATCTCTGTCACTTTTAACAATTCTGCATATATCCTACTGTGTCTTGTATTCTACCTACCTACGTTTGCCATGTTAATATAAGCAATTTGAGGCATATACTTCACACAAAATGAAAATGAAAGTTGACCCACCTAGTAGGTGAGATCCCAATTCAGGAGGAATGGCTTGTCTCAATATGACATCAATTCAAAACCTTCCTTCCAAATCAGGAAATGGAATTATAATTGATATGATAATTTTCATTTATCAAATGAAAATGATGAGAAAAAACTTCCTTTTGGCTCAAATGAAAATATAGTCAATTGCCTGCTCAATCTAAGTAGCAAAAAAGTTAAGTCAAAAAACAAAACTAATTGATCATGTGTTGATGAAATTGCATACACTTTACATGTGTAAATATAAGAACTGACATAGGCTTAGGCTTCCATTGATCTGAAATTATACTCCCCAAGTATTGGAAGCAAAGCTGTGTGTTAGATCAATTATTATAACCAGTTGGCTTGCTGCTTTGGAAAGGACTTTTTTTTTTTAAATTGATTTGTTAGGGATCAGTCTCAGTTTGTTATATGCTCTGTTATATGTTGCACATTTCAAGAAATACCCATAGCTTATCAGTCAGAAACCATTAAATTTGTAAACTGCCCAGAGTAGACCTGATAATCCTGTGAAGAATTCCAATTTTTATGAGACAGTTTGATCATCACTTCCCTAAAACACAGTTATGATATTTCATATTCATTCCTTGGGGTTTGTTTTTGTTTAAATCCAAATACATTAGCTATGATGTTCCACTGCCCAGCTGTGACGGACAGGTGAGAGCAGGGCTGTATATTACACTTACTATTTCTCCTTTTTATCTCTGTCACTTTTAACA